TGCTTATCTTCAGGAGTAATATTTCTGGTTTACTTTTAAGATTGGTTTTTCAGACCCCTTTCTCAACTGGGTCTCTACGGGCAGATCAGAACTAACAGACAGCAAGGTTTACCCCGATGTGGTTTGACTGCAGACCCCCATTATATGATTTCTAGCCTTCAGGAGAGGACTGCTTCCAAGTCTGGTTTGATACAGGCTGTACAGCTGTTGCAATACATGCTGGCCATGTCAAGTGAATTAAAGCACTATGGGATGCTTTTGAATTGAGGCTGCCTTGTGCTTTTTCCTTTATGGTACTGTAGATGTGGCATGGCGTTGTTGAAACCTGTCACTCACCCATGTCGTAGTGGCACTGTTCCAGTTTCTCACCAGGGGTGAGCAATGCACGTGATGCTTTTATGCTTATTTTTTCTACCTGCAGACTTTATCTCTTCAACGCCAGATGATGGAGAACCTCATCATAGCCAAAGCAAGACATGAGGCCGTATCCTTTTCAGCAGACCCTTGATTAACTTGATTTCCTCTCTCGCTGCATCCTCTAGTCTAGATAGAGAACTGTCCTGCATGTCTGTTTGACCAAGTGGGCTGTGATGGGGTAATTGAGGTGACTGAGAAGAATCAAATGAATGAACAGGGTGTTGCAGGTCATTTTATTAGTGTTTGATTAAGGGACAGTAAAGAAAGAAACATTTTAGTCACCATTTGGCAATGATGATTTCTTTCTATAGTGGTGAACTGTGAAGGGCAGGTATGACATATGAAATAATTCTCGTCACCCAGAAAAATCCATTAAATGCAATTGCTTAAGGTTTGTGTCGCTTATGCACGATATTGCTTAAATTGAGTATATTTTAAATCTGTTATTTTTATGCATTTACACCTGTGTGTTTGTGTGTGGATGTTGATAAGTGCATATAGATGTTGGTCTGTCCCTCTTATTACAAAGAGTTGAAAGCCTTCAGCAGATGTGACAGACAACAGGTTGGTCAGAATCATTTCAGTTTAGGTTTTAACCTTTTCTCGTGAACTTCCTGTCAAAGGCAGCTTGAGGTATCTGACCTGTACTCGTAGAGTCCTGCACAAGTGTTTGCTTATGTTATGCATGTGTTTTCATTTTTAACGAGGTGCAAGTATGAGTCAGGCCTGATAAAGATAAGTAGTTCTGGTGGGGAGCTGCAAAGGAACAAGTAATAGGTTTATTCCATTCTGAAAGGAAACGCACTAGGAAGGCTCCACAGCCGAAACATTGTTTTCTTTCTTCTCTTTCCGGCATGGAATAAACCCATGACTTGTTCCTTGTCAAGATAATGCAGCTTTACTAAGTTCCTAAAAACCTTGTGATTTGCTTGCTTTGTTCGGCACACAAGTTCTGCACAAGAGCTATTATTCCACGATTTTTGTCCACTTGAGTGGAGTTGAGTCCAAAGTATGTTTACAGTGGTGTCTCATCCCATGTAGCAGTGATGGGATTGGGTTCTCCTTAGCCTTGCGTATCTGATATCGTTGGGTTGGAAGTTGCACTGACCATGCTTAGGTTGGAGTTTAGGTCCCTATTGTTATTTTGATTTGTGGGATTTGAAAGTCATTATTCTGTCCTGTGTCCAACAGTTGAGTTTGTAACATTGTGCGCTGGTTTCCATGACGAGACTTAATAATAAAAAATAATTGATCTTGCATTATGTCTTCTCTAAGTGCCAGTGCAATGGCACATTTTCTGAAATAATACACATCTCAGGCAGTGTGGCTATGGCAAGTATAGAGTCTGTTTGAAATAATGCTTTCTTAGCCCACGAGTGGGGCTGTAGTTGTCTGAAGTTGCAGGCTCTGGATTAGTAGCCAATAAAAGTAAGGCAGCTGGGAATAGGAGTTTCTAAATTGAGTGAATGCCTGGCCCTCACTATTGCTTCGACTGTCAAAGGAATGAGGAGATGAAAGTTCCTTATCACAAAGGCAAACAGCTTCAGAGGAAAATGGAAGAGAGGAGACTGAGGCTACAGGAAGAAGCTAACAGGTAAAAATGTTTTTTTTTTCTGCTTGCTAGACATTTAACTTTTTTTCAGTCAGTCCTGAGTGTCAAAATACTCACCTCTAAGAGTACAGTTTCTTGCGACTTCTGCACATAGAACTTTACGCAGCCTCTCTGCAGCTTGCCAGCTGTTATTGTTGGCTAACCAGCTCTCACTAGTTAACTGATGATGAGCAGACACAGGTGGAATAACACTGTATCAGATTCTCCCACAATCCTTTTTTTTCCTTCTTTAGAGATCCTTTTGGTTACCTGAATAAAGGCAGTGCTGCTTCAAGGAAATTGGTACAGTGTTAATACCAGTTACGAATCCCTTAGACCTTTCCGTTCCTCTAAACAAGTTTACAGATATACCCGGAATACAAAACTGAAGTCACTTGGCCACAGCAAGCCTTAGAAGGCGCAGAGCTCCTCCAAGACCAGGTGTATGGTTGGCGATCTGTAATCATTGCGTGTGCGATCTGAGCTTTCTAAGTACAGTGTGTTGTGTGCAGGAGGTTCTCCAGCGCGGTCTCCGCTACCCCAGAGGAGCAGGAGCTGAGGGTCCTCTACGCCAGTGTGCTGGAGTACGAGCAGGACCACGTAAGGCCTGCCTTTGCGCTCTGTTCTCTTCACCTAGAGTCTGTCGGGAAGCTTCATCCGTTTCCTGAATTAGAACAATTTGGGGGTGATAAATGTACCTGTTTGAAAAATGTTTAAGTTCCAAATACTGGAAGGACAGTGTCCATGAGGACTGATCTGTTTTCTGACATGTTCGTGTCTTTAGTGCAGAATAGCTTTGTGACTCGTATAACGGCTATCTGTCCTGTTTCTTCTGCAGTCCTGGCCTCGGCAGTGGAAAGAAAAACTGAAGAAAAAGCCGAATGATTTGACTCTGGTTACGGGTCTTATCTCCTACATTGTCAGGTAAAGAGAAGGAAAGGGAGAGCAGGGCACATTGTGGGAGTCGGGAACAAGCCACCAAGCTGTGTTGTTGAAGCTTGTACCCTAGCTCCTTTCAAGAAGCGGCTGGGTTAGATCCTCAGAGCAAACATGCTAAAACGGGCCAATTGTCTCCTGTTGTTTGAAAATTTCTTTGTGTTATTGTAATGGTTTGAAACAGCAGGGCCTTGGCAACAATGTTGTGTGAAGCTTTAATGTGATTGACTCTGAATCAGGTGTTTGGTGGAAAAGCATGAGAAATCAAGTGCCCTAAATCTTCCCAGAATTAAATCAGGTTAATTGGAGATTTAAACATAACTGGTTTCCAGTTTCTGAATGCTGAATTTGCTGCCTGTCAGATGCAGTATTGATAGACATCTATAATCTTTGAAAGGTATTTTGTCGTGCTGTTGTGTTGTGTGCGTGTGCAGCGTTTAGAATGTACAACTTATTTCAGCTTAGCTTTAGTAAGTCAGGGCTTCTCAGGAAGTAAAGATTTCCAGTGGCGATTTGTTTGATTTCCAGGTTTGTTTTTGATTTGTCAATAATCAACATGCTGAGGCACATCATTGCAGCTTCTCCAGCTGAGTTTTGTTCTGTCCTGTCAGTGCATCTGGGCCATAGGTCACTGAGCCACAGGAGGTACAGGTGAAGACAAAATTATAAGTTGGCTGCAAACTCAGTCATTTACTCAGTCTTCCTCTACTTCAGTCAGTTCTCACTGATATCTTTCAAAAAGTGTTCCACACACTTTAACCTTTGAGTCTAGTCCTAAAGATTGCAGGCAGGAGAAATGATACTGGGCTGCCATGCACATTATCTATAGTACGATGTAATGGAAAATCAATATATTGGCACTATAGTGCTTTTCTGTCTGTCTCGGACAAAACTTTAAAAAAAGTGTTCGATTCTGTTATCGGCTGTTTGTATGCAAATTCCCAACTGCTAAAAAGTACATTTTTTTTCAACGTGCAATTTATTAAAGGGGGTGTTATGAATGTAATGCTGAGTCCTGAATTTCAAACATCTATAAATGTAGTAAAAATAATTCAATCTTAGTTTTGTTTTCCCCAG